AGGTGGGGGAGACTCCGAGTGGCCGCGGCGCGGGCACCGCTTCTCCCCCCTCCCTCCCTCCCTCCTAGGCTTGAGAGCCTGGGGGGAGGAGGCAGGGCTGGGGATTTGGGGAAGGGGCGGAGTTGAGGTGGGGCTGGGTAATTAAAGAACCGGGAGGTGGGGGAGGAAATTGTTTTTGCTTTGGGCGGCAAAAATCCTAGAGCCGGCCCTGATGATAATCATCAAACTATTCTCCTTAAATATATAAAAACAAAGTTAAATGGTAGTTAACGTTATTTTGAAGAAATCCATTTTCCTTCATTAAGCACTTTTACTTGCTTACCCAGTCGAAGGCATTGTCTCAGAATTCCTCCAGATGACATATTTTTCTCAGACTCAATTTCAGTGAAGCCAAGAGAGCTTGCAAAAATTAACACATCCACAAGGCTGATTAATCTCTGAAGAAATGTTACCGAAGCTTCTATTGAAAGTCCTTGAGTTGGTTCTATATTCTCTAATTCATGCTATGAGAGGGAAAAGTTGAAAACATGTATTTCTACAGAAAAGATCATTCTTAACTAAATTCCATGAAGAAAACAGGTTTGTAAAAAGTCCATTATTGCTCATTGCCAAAATAATTAGTCATCCTTCAAGCTGAAGAATTTAACTGGAAGAATGCAGACAGAATAACCACATAATATTCCAGGCTACACTGGGGCCCCAAGTCCTAGATGGCTCTTCCCCCTCTTCAGGTAATGACAGCAGGAGCCTAAATTCCTCTTAAGGGAACAGCCCATATAGATCCATGGTCTCTCAAGAGGACAGATATTCCTATTAATGTACTATATGAAGAAAGATCCGCCCACTCCCACAAGTAATCATTTTTGCAATAGAAAATGAATTTCTTACTGTAGCAGATGTAGCAGCAGAAAGCAATGGCAATATACCACCGCAAGCCATGATCATGTTGTCCATAACTTGAGAGATGAGGTGAATTGTGTTGTGTACAAAGATGACATTGTCACTGCTGTTCACAAAGTCCATCACAGTCTTTGTAGAATGGCTGTCCAAAAAAAGTAAGAGGGTGGGAAAGCATTCAGAATAGAAGTCTATTTTGTGTGTTTTTAGCAAGTTTATTAAGTTCCTTCAAATGCACATAAACTGATATCAATGCAGCCAAAAACATCATATAAGCATCCTCACAAGGCTCAATCAACGGAACCTAAATCTTGCCCTCAAATTGCCTTTCCTTTTGCACTCCTAATCCTCTCCAGAGCATACCCTAGTAACTGGGTCCAAGTGTGTTGTGAATAGTCATGTGAATAATTAATTATTCATTATAGACAAGTCTGTGATCATCTGGTACAACAAAAAGCACTGTATAAATCAATAAAATAAAGTTTCTCTGGGGATATTAAATAGATTTGAACTCAAGGCTTTGGAAGAACAAAGTTAATATTAACCAAGTCCACCACATTACAATGTTAAAGCAAAGAAATTAATACAATACCACAAAAACCTAATTACTGTTAAAACACAGAAAATAGATTTTCAACACAGTCCTAAATTATCCACAGTATCTTGAGTAAACCTGGTGCTGTACTAAATACATACTTTAGTCATGTCTTAAAACTTCAGTTCTAAAGGCAAACAAAAGTTTCATCTAAATCTCAAGGTAAATTTTATGCACCTGTAACTTGTTTATGTTTTTTCCTTTTTTTAAATAGGTCATTTGTATCTTCTTAGCAGGCTAGCATAGCTATGTGGTAGTCAGAATCAATTTTTACCTTCACTATCTCATACTGATAAAAAATAGCACTATAAACACACTGAAATACCAGTGGCACAACTAGCCCCAATTTTTCCTTCAATGCTACAACTGATTGATATTTTGCAGATTTTGGTTACAATATTTTGTTTTTAACACACGTAGGACAACATAATTTCTTCAGCTCCATAGAAACATACTGAAGTACAGAGCGGCACCTGTTTGCTTATGTCAAAGCACTGGCTGGTTTTAATTTTAAGGGAAGTTTCTTTAAAGAAATAATATATTTCTGGCTTCCACATTGTGAATGCTCTTAAGATGATGCATATTGCTAGATGTCTATTCAGAGATTGGGACCATGGTTCCATTTAAGTAAATAGCAAAACTCCCATTGACTTTAATGGGGCCAACATTTAATCCAGAATGTATATGTAACCCTTCAACCAATACACACATCTTTAAACATTCCTGAAGACTGGTAATCAATAATTCTGAGGAGACCCTGCTATAGACCCCAAAATAACTAATTCATACTTTATATATTTCAAATCTATTATTAAACAAATATAAACAAATTAACCAGTGACATTAGATTTCAAAAGCAACAGAGGGTCCTGTGGCACCTTTGAGACTAACTGAGACTAACTGTTAGTCTCAAAGGTGCCACAGGACCCTCTGTTGCTTTTTACAGATTCAGACTAACACGGCTACCCCTCTGATATTAGATTTCAATAACATCTTAGACTTCTGTTACAGTGCAATGCTAGCAAATATGATTTCCTACAAAGCACAGATTTACCTTCTCCACATCTGTATATCTGTTTCTATTGAAAAGAGTAAATCTGTGAGCAAACGTTGATGCATCTGGGACCACTTAAATTCAGGAATACGAAACATAGTCGACCTGGAATCTCTTCTCTGCCCATCAGATGCAGCAGCCATGTCTTGTCCTGATGAATCTTCCTGCCTTGATATCTGTTTGCATAAAATATAGGCAGGTTCCAAAGTAACAAAAATTCAATTTCAGCAGTGTTTACTGAAAAAGTTTCACTTTGGATTTAATAGGTCTGTAAGCTTAGACATTACATAAACTTACAAATGCACATACATTTAAGAATTAAACCAATACAATTGCAGGGCCACTACTGATGGATTATACCAAACCTACAAACTACAATACAACTGCACCACCATCTCTGCCAGTCTAGACAAAAATAAGCAGCAACTAGACCTTACCACATGGGGAGAATATGTTGCTGCTGACAGTGATCTCCCTCCTTTGAGGAAGAATGTTGTAGGATGAAGGGCATCGATTGGCAGGTGTCTCTGCAGGAGGGAAGTACTCAGCTACATCAATGTTTAACCATGATCAGTATCACTGAACTGGAAGCAGAAGTCTGAAGGAGCATTGCAGTAAGCATTGCAGTAAGGGCAAAAACATAAGCCCAATTCTGAGTTAAAATTTACTAAAAACACATCCTTATGTTGATACTTTAAAGTGATAATGAATGAGTTCTCAACTGATGTACATTAGTAGCAGTTAGCTAAAAATGGCTTCTACAACTTTCATTAGACTCTGAAGGGAATTCAGGCCAGCTCCTTTCTGACTGATGGATTGTAACTACAAGAGATCTCTGAGGATTGAGAGAGATAGAAGGGCTTAAGGGGATGGAGGAAATAAGAAGGAAGTTCAGTGGAAAAATAGAGGGAATTCAAGGTGAAACCTCAGAATCCACAATGCTACTTTTGATTCTTCAATTTAGAGACTACAGATGACACAAATCGATTAACGTTTTAGCTATTTGACTCCTGAGGTCAGCAAAGTGCTTCTTCAGGAGCCTACAAAAATCCTATGAACTTTACAGAATTTCACTAATTTCTCAAACTGTACTGTTGGAAAAGAGTTTTGTTTTTTCTTATAAATATCAAACTAATCAGTCTGACCTATTATTTTAGGTACAGTTTTAATTTGGCATAAGGGAGGTATATAAAAGTTACCTCAGGTAGGGGTCTAAGAGGCTGAGTTGCTTCCAGGCTTGTGCTGGGTTTTAGTTCCAGTCTCTGTGTGTCTGATGCAACACTGGAAACATCAAGCTTGGCAATTCTTTTCTCTGAGGCCACAGAAGCTTCTGAAGTATGTGTGTTTGCATCTTCTCCAGTTGCTTTGGTTTCACTGACATCAGTTTTTAATTCCTCTAACTTCTCACTCACTTCTGAATTTAGTTGACTTGTCTCCTCTTGGACTTCAGCGGTCACTGTTTCTGATAAGGAAGCCAATTCTTCTCTTGTCTCATTCAAGATTTCAGCACTTTTGGATTCTAAAAGTACTGACTCAGGTTCCTCAACAACAGTTTCCTCTTTCATTGCTATTGTTATTTGGCTTTCACTTTCAGGTGAGCTATTCTCTTCACTGGGTTTTAGTACCAACTCTTCTGAAGGTAAAGGCAGATTGCTTTCCTCTTTTAAATCAACAAAGTCATCTTCCACCTCTGGTGAAAATTCTTCCAGCATTTCTGGGCTTTCAGGTGTCTCCCCTTCTAAAACCGTTTGTGCAGTTAGAGAAGCCCCATCAGTAGCTGCTGTTTCTTCCACAAGTTCTTTACTCAGAGAATCTGCAATTGCTTCAGCAATTCCAGAAGTGATTTCTGAATCCCCTGGTTTTACTGCTTCTGTCTGTGAAGGAAATTCTAAGCAAGCTGCTCTGTTTAAGTCAGGTGATCTCTGACCATTTTCTCCCTCAGATTTCTTCCCTTCATTAGATGGTGAATGACTTTGTAGCTCACTTTCAGATGAGGCTTTTATCACATTTTTCTGAGCGCTGTGCTCCACGCTATCAGCCCCAACAGATGCAGAAGCAGCAGCTTCTTTCACCTCCACCTGCTGTTGCCTCCTTGCGAATTCAGCTTCTCTGCTAACTCCTGAGATAGTTCTAACAGGGGTGGAAGGAACTGTTCCACTTCCTTCACCGCCTTTCCTTTGGTAATCCCGGTACATTTGGGAAAGGCTCTCTTTATGCATTTCAAACGTTACCTAAAAACAAAGGATTATCAAGAATATTAGAACTCAAAATTAGAAGACTGATTCTTCTACAAAGTAGATTCAGAGGCAACTGAACAACAGTAGTATCCAAACTGCAAGGTTGCAATTCAACCTTAACTGTGCTGCTGCTACTACCCTACCATAATGTACAAGTTAAAAAAGCAGCTCTGTAAGGACTCTTGGATGTTTATTTAAAAATTTTCATCCCTAGTACTTGATGTTTAACATCCTCCTTAGTTACTAATGGACTATATGATACGATTATATCATCTTATTTCTTTGCAAATACAGACCAGAAATATTTATTGAACACTTTTCTTTTCTCCAGCATTAACAATTTTACCATCTCTATCTAGTAATGGGCCGATTCCATTGCTAGGATTTCTTTTGTTCCTAATATACTTCAACTCTTTCTTATTGTCTCTCTTTCTTATGGATTTTTTACCTCACGTCTTTAGCCTCTCCATCACTTTTCAACACTTATTAATATCTAATTTCCATTACCAATTCCTATTTTAAGAGTTTAATTCTGCTGTAAAACTTCATTTCAGGTTAAAACTTGGATCCAATGCCCCTCCAGGAAAAATCCACAACTGCTAAAAAAAAAATCCTAAAATGAAAGAACATCTAAAAAAATTCATGACAGTAATTTAAGATGTTCTTTGATACCTCTGACTCCAAAATGGTACACAGATATTGTGGGAGGTTGTGGTTTGCGTAAATAATTTGTAATACAAAATCGGCTTCTTAAGTTTAAAGAAAGACTTTTTAGATGAAAGGGAGGGAGGGTGGGGGATAGCGAGCGATGGAGGGGGGGGACTGGAGTCAGCAGAGGGGCGGGGCCTCGAGAGGGTCAGGGCCTTGAAGAAGGAGGCGGGGCAAAAGTGTTTGGGTTTGTGCGATTAGACAGTTGACAACCCTATTAATACATGTGTTCTGTACTGAAGTCAAGTGTTAATTTGTATGTGTTTGACACACATCAGTTACAAAATCAGTAAGAATAAGCTTAAGTACTGTACATTTCTTCACCTAAGATTGTTGAGAAATAGGGACACTACAACTCCTGAGCTGTTTGACTTACAGAGGCACTGCACAGTAGCTGCATGTTATTCATTACCTCATTAAGGGTGATATTTTAAAAATATTCTCTATAGTAAAAATAATGCAGTACAGTTTAGCAGTTGTGGTTTTCTTATCCAAAACAGCAAAGAGACGATGGTTTTGGAAGCCAATATAAAGTGATTTGCTAAAGTATTTTGGAAATTAAACTAATGAAATTGCTTTCCAGATTGCTATTGTGTGCTGCAAAAAGTGGGGGAGGGAAGGTCAATACAGACAATTGCCATTTTTAGATGCTGGTCATGTAATCCTATGGGAAAATAAATCCAGATATAATATGGTGACATACACAGACCCAAGACACAGAAAAATGCAAGGCGAGTCATACTATTAAAGTAAGCTAGAAAGCATACACATACAGTAACAGGGAGGGTAAAGAAGGCTTTTTAAAAATAAATGGATGCAATTTAAGCAGCCTTATTTCTATCATAAAAATTTCAAAACAAGATTAATTTTTTTTTAATAAATTTGCAAATTAAAATAACAAAAACACAAATTTAAGCAAGCTCACTACAGTGTGGGACTTTACAAAGCAGCATTTCAAATTAAGGGTTTTCTTTATATATTAAAAAAAATATAAAATGCTGCTTTGCAAAGACCAACATTGTAGCAAGCCTACCTAAATTTGTGTTTTTGCTACTTTAATTTGCAAATTAGCTTAATTAACATGGACTCTACATATGGCACAATCCTGTTAAATGTGAAAGGCAAGAACAACTTTTTTCTAAACAAATATTCCATGACACTGAATTTATTAAACGCTTTTCACAAAGCAGACTGTGAGTGTTGTAAAAGATAACATTAAAAAGCCAGGGTTAGAATTAATGAAAGCAACAATTAACAAAATGTACACTCGAATAGAAGCCACCAGATTCTTTTTCAAATGTGACTAGCACAGAGCTAACTTAACTTTAAGATATAAATACTAGCTCATGTAAACTTGTAACAATATGAAAGCTAAATGCCAGCTGAAAAACTTGAATTCACCTGTCTTCAGTCTTTTTTATTTTTCTTAAAGCATCTGCAACTGTAAAGCTGATAATTCACAATTAATTACCAGAAATTGTTCTAAATTAGCGAGCTAAAAGGCCAGTCATTAATCTTCACAATCATTTGATGGTTAATCCATAGCCATTTGGAAACCACATCTATGCACTACTAGTTAAAGACACTTGTAAGCTAATAACTACAACATTCTCCTCTGCCATTAATTTTAACTTAATTTGACATTCAACATTCACTAATTGCCAGACAAGAAGATTAGCATGCAGCATGCAAAAAGGTTAAGATGACTAACATGTAAAAGAGGCATTTTAGCTGTGTGAGAAGATTTAGTCTAGGTTCCACGCCCCCAACCCCCCCCCCCACCACACACACACACACAATATATATATATATGTGCATTTTTGTGGAGTGGAGGGAGATGGCATGGGTAACTGGTTGGCCGGCCAGCCAGCCAGCCACCGTACTGTTGTCCATAGCAAGGTTAATTGTAAACTAGTTCCTATGCTGCTAACCTCATCAATAAACTGTTCATAATTCCAGTATATGTTACCATTTTTACTCAGAGCTTTATTGACCTGTTTTTTCTCCCTCCTAACAGCTGAGGCCTGGAAACTCTCCACTCCAAGCAAGAAACAAATCAACTTTGACTGGAGGCACCAGTACCTGCCAATACCAATCCCACTTCATGAATCAGTCAGAGAAAATGGACAGAGGTACTATATACATTAATACCTCCACACAACCTTCCTCAAAAGAACACATTTTGCCATATCCCCACCAAGCTTCTTACAAAGGGAAAAACTATATTCTAAACTAATTTTCTCTTATGTTTACTATCAAAATGCAAATGACTTATAAGACAAAGTTATTCTGAATGGCAAATATCAGTCACTATTGACTAATAAAAGTCTTCATTTAAATAGAAGTTAAATTTGTATGTTGGCTATTCTGGTGATTTGGGAAATGTATCTACATACAATTTATGAATTCTGTTTTGGATTAGGAATTGTATGTTTAAATCCTTATGATGATCTTCACTGTTTTTGTCTCATTCTGCTTGTGCTACGCAGATGGAGTGGTGCCTGAGAGTATGTCTCTGAACAGGAATGGTCATTAAAAATCATCACCACCAGAATAGATCTTACCAGAACAGAACAAAACGTCTACATCCTAGGTGAAACCAGTTTCTCCTCCAGCTTTTCTCCACACAGATAAGTTTTAAATTCGTGAAAAAGAGGAAAGAGAGAGAAGTGACAAAGCAGGGTTTTACAAACAAAGAGGAAGAGGCTTCGTCTACACTCAGAAATTACATTGGCATTATGATGTTGGTCAGGGGTACAAAAAAACCTCACTTCCAACATATAGACAAGGCTGACAAAACTTCAGCTGAAGACACAGCTATGTCAATGTAGCTAATGTCATTTGGGGAAGTGGTGGAAAAACTGCTCTCAGTTATAGTGCATCTACAGTATTGGGCTTTACCAAAATAGCTATATCAGTATAGTGTCCATAGCGTAGACATACCCTGAGAAGCTGAAGGGATATAGAGGACCTTAAAAGGGTCAGTTTTCTAGAGTGAGTGGAAACCTTTCTGACTGCTGGACCAGCCAGAGCAGAAAGGCACTGACTGCCCCATCAGAGAGAGAAAGAGAGAGAGAGAGAGAGAGATGCTACGATTCTGGAGTATCAGAGGGGTAGCTGTGTTAGTCTGTATCCACAAAAACAAGGAGGAGTTCAGTGGCACCTTAAAGACTAACAGATTTATTTGGGCATAAGCTTCCATGGGTAAAAAATCCATTTCTTCAGATGTATGGAGTGAAAAATACAGCATAAATATACTGACACATGAAGAGAAGGGAGTTACCTTACAAGTGGAGAACCAGTGTTGACAGGAGAAAAAGCCCTAAGCTGGAGAAATACAGCCCAGCAGAGGGGCCCTCCCTGCCCTTTTCAGTCTAACTTTCTACATCCAAAAATCTTTTCCTGCAACTTTGACCATGACATCCCTTTTCCCCAAATGCAGTGATTAGAATATATGCAATGAGTCACAGCGTTCCCCACCCACCATGGATGCTGCTTGTCAAAGGGCTCTCCTGAGTGGTTTGTACTCCTGCTTCCCATTCCCTCCTGCTGAGGCTGGAGGTCCCATCACACTTAGAAGTCAATAGTAAGTGGGCCCCTCCATCCACACCCAGGAATAGCAGGGGACTCACCTGAGAAAGAGGGGGAGGAAGGTGCCAGAAGCCATACTTTTTGAACATACATTACTTTCAGGGAGGCCCCATATTTTAATCCCAAAGTAACTTGCATTCCACACAAATCTGGCAACCCCTTAATTTTTGTTGTTGAAAATTATTTACATCAGAAGAATCATGAAACTGAAGTTTTAAAAAGTGATACACTCAATTAATTAATCCCACATTTTAAATTTGCTGCATGAATTAGTCTTCCCCCCTCATGTTTGGCCTTTGTCACACATTGTGGCCCATTTGTGGGCCCTGGCAGATTGAGAGGTATGCCAGTGGTGCTAGGTAGGTAGCAGCGGTTCTCCCTCATGAATAGAAGAGCTGAAGAACCATTTATCTAACAGATATTAATAGTATTAAAATATCAGATAATCCTTATACACCTTTCTAAGGAAAGTTGAAGTATCTTATGTTTATGGAGTCTTTATACACTCATTCCCCTACTCCAATATTCAGCCTAAACAGTCTGTTTTTTTTAACTGCATACCATTGTTCCTACTTAGCCTCACATATACCCTTAGCATTACCCTAAAAAAATCCTCATCCTCCATTTTACACAATTACATTGTTTGTAAACAGTTATGAATCACTGAGTCCTTGCTGAGGCATTAAGAGGCATTT